AGGTCACCCTACTGCTCTCCCACCCCCAGGGTGATTCTGCTGATTCTTTCCCATGGTGACTGGTGTTCCAGGCATGTCAGCACGTTCTCTCTTACCTCTCACGCCTTGAAACCTCTAGGCTGGCTGACACCACCCATGCCACGCTCCACCATTCCACAGGCCCTTTCATCTTCTCAGTGGGACTGGTGACCTGCTCTCAGAACTGTGCCAGATCTTTTCCCCATCCCTGGAGGGTATGAACCCACCCACATCTCACCCCCCTGAGAGCCAGCCCTCCGTGGTAAGTGTCAAGCTGGAGAGAGCCTGTCCGTCCCAAACCAGCCTTCCAGCCTCTCTGCCTGTTGGGAGGAAGGAGCACCCAGGCACATGCAGGCAAGCCCGCCTGCTCCCCGCATCCGTGAGGGCCCCGGGCTTCAGTCCTTGATACTGTCTTGGCTGCCCTGCCCCATCTCTCACTGAATGCACGCACCCGCGCCACCCCCCCCCCCACCCCCCCAATACCACACTCTGATGTTCTGAGTTGCTTGTGCTCACTCTTCCCTGTAGAGTCCCCTGCCCTGCCTGGTGCAGACCCCTCCCTCCAGGATCTGGACTTGGCCTCCTCCCTGGCTTCCTAAACCACTGCATGGCCTCTTTGGCCCCTGCTGTGAAACCTTCGGTGAGCCCCTCGGGACTCCTCTGCCCCCTTGGTCTGCCCCCCAGTGACCTCCCCTTTAGGACTGCACCCTCCTAAGCTGATGTTCCCTCACTGGCAAGAGGCCACTACTGCTTCTCAGGCTGCATTCGTGCAACATTCTCACTGCCAGCCCCTTGCTGAGTCTTGCTCTTCCCCTGGAAGCTTATCTTCTGGAAAACTCCTCAGTTGGTCTGGGTCCCATGTCACCCTAGCTTCAGGCTAAGGCGACCTGGTATCCTCAAACGCCTCTGAGGTGGAGCCTGGATCTCCACTTTTTGTTCCCCTGTGCTGAAGGGGCTGAGTGAAGTAGATCAGGAGTTCAGTCCATCAGAAGAGTTCAGAGCTCTTCTCCCACTACTAGTCTGGAGCTGGAAAGCTCAGGATACCCCAGCCCAGGGTGCGCCCTGGAGAGCAGACTGGAAGAGGGGTCCCTGGACCATCTTTCTGCCACCCGCTGCTTCAAAGGACTTCTGCTCCACCCTGCTCTGGCACCAAGATTGCTGGGAGAGATATCAATAATCTCAGATACGCAGATGACACCACCCTTATGGTAGAAAGTGAAGAGGAACTAAAGAGCCTTTAGATGAGGGTGAAAGAGGAGAGTGAAAAAGCTGGCTTCAAACTCAACATTCAAAAACCTAAGACCATGGCATCCGTTCCCATAATTTCATAGCAAATAGATGGGGGAAAAATGCAAATAATGACAGACTTTATTTCCTTGGGCTCCAAAATCATTGCGGACAGTGACTTCAGCCATGAAATTAAGGGACACTTGCTCCTTGGAAGAAAAGTTATGACAAACCTAGACAGCATGTTAAAAAGCAGAGACATTACTTTGCTGACAAAGGACCATCTAGTCAAAGCTATAATTTTTCCAATAGTTGTATATGGATATGAGAATTGGACCATAAAGAAAGCTGAGCACCGAAGAATTGATGCTTTAGAACTGCGATGTTGTAGAAGACTCTCGAGATCCCTTGGATAGCAAGGAGATCAAACCAGTCAATCCTGTAGGAAATCAACCCTGAATATTCATTGGAAGGACTGATGCTGAAGCTGAAGCTCCAATACTTTGGCCACCTGATGAGAAGAGCCAACTCATTGGAAAGGACCCTGATGCTGGGAAAGATTGAAGGCAGGAGGAGAAGGGGGTGACAGAGGATGAGATGGTTGGATGGCATCACCGACTCAATGGACATGAATTTGGGCAAACTCCAGGAGATGGTGAAGGACAGGGAAGCCTAATGTACTGCAGTTTATAGGGTCACAAAGAATCGGACACGACTGGGCAACTAAAAACGACAACAACAACCGCTCTGGCATGTGTGTTCTTGGAGCCGTAGGGCCCAGTCTGTCCCTGGCAGCTGCAGGCTGAAAAGAGCTCATCCGTCTGCCCCTACATCACACACTCTGAGTCCTCCTTACCCAGGGCCAGGCCTGGCCTGAGCTGAGAGGCCTAAACTAAATCTCTAGTCGATAGGAATCGTAACAGCAGTTTCTTGATCCAAGAAGGTGCTGGAGGTGGGTAGTTATGGCTATGGGCCCAGTTGGCAGGCTGCCTGAGAGGGTGGTGAACCAGCCACAGAAGAGACATGACCCAGACCTGTGGTTGAGGTACTGGGACAATGGGCCTATTCCTGGGCAGAGAAAGGGAGGGCACAGCATGAAGTGTCAACAGAAACAGTGTTGTTGTAGCAGCAGGAAGAGCAATGGGCAGGAGGCAGATGTCTACCTGCTGGTTTTTTCTGAGCTACAGACAGGCTGAGCAGCCCAGGTAGTGGGTGCTACCTCTGTGGTCTCATCACCAATAAGATGGGGCTTCTACAACCTGTGTGGCTTCTCTAGTTTGATGAAGTTGGGAGGTGGGGTTGATTCAGACTTGCTGAGAGGATCTGGCAGCAGAAGTGGGTGAAGAGCCATCCCCCACCTCCAACCAGGCTTTTTGAAGCCCTGCTGCCCCCTAGTGGTGACACAGACTAATAGCGGCATGGTTCCCATCCCCTGCACCAGGGACAATTCTGCTGGTCACGCCCTGACTTCTCCAGACAGGGAAAGGAAATTCACGGTGGACATTACCGACCACCTCCTCCCTCAGGTACGAGTATTCTGGGTGGAGGGAACAGCAGCCCCAGTCGATGCACAGGTACCCAGAGCCATGCACAGGACAACGTGGGTTACTCACTCATGTGAGTTACTCCTTCATTCTGCAAGCCCCCAGGAAGGCACTGTAGTTTGCAGGGGCACTTGCCAGGCCCTGGGGATTTAGAGGCCCTCAGTACACCACTCCTGCCCTTAGAGAGCCTCTCCCCAGTAGGGAGCAGACAGGCACACCACAGACTCTGGACAAAATAGGAGAATGTGGGGGCTGCTCTGAGGATGACATTGTGTGAGTAACACTTGGGAAGCACATGGCCTGCAGCCGTGGGGCTGTCTGACTATTGGTCTGTCCTCATCACATGGGTCTTCAGCCCGCTAGATGTAGAGGCCTTTGCCACGAGGTTAGGGGAGTCTTTTCCTGCAGGCCCTTCCAGAGATCTGGGTCACCCATCCTGTATGATGGCTGGATTTCTACCCAGCCTGCTGCTCCTCGCTGCTGTCTGGCCCCCACCCTGGCTGGGAACAGGCACAATGGGGAAAGCAGACCTTGTCTCCTCTATCTCCATTCCTCCTCCCCAGACCTGGGTTCCAAAGATCATGGAGATCATTCGGTCTCAGCTGCATCCCTCACTCCCAGGCTGGTACTCTGAGGGCCTTCCAGCTCCAACCACGGGGCATGGGAAGGTAACAGGAGGCCCAACTACCACCCCACCAGGGCCCTGCTCTGGCTGTCAGAGACTAGACTGGAACTCAGTAGGCAGCACGTGGAAAGGGTAGGAGAAGTGTGTGTGTGTGTGTGTGTATAGCCTGGGTGCGTCACTGTAGCTGGGAATGTAGACGAGTCTGACTCAGTGGGAACATCCGGCATGAAAGGAAGAGAGAGCGCAGTGGCATTTCCAAGCAGGATGGGAACTCTAAGGTGGTGGAGAGTGGCTGCCAGGTTAGCGGTGCTGCTCCAAGGCCTGGCCTGGAAAGAGGCTCAGTGTGGTGGGGAGGGGAGGGCAGATAGGAAGGGGTGGTTCAAGGGGAGCAGAGGTTGGATCTCTGGCTGCCTGGGCTGGTCTCGGTAGGAAGGAGAGGGCAGCAGGGCTTTCTGCCTTGGAGACAGGAGGGGACAAGGCATCCATGGGATTAGGGAAATAGGCCCCAGTCAGTCAGGACTGAGGGGGAATGCAGGAACCTCTGACCTGCCCTTCAGGGCCTGGAGGTCGGGGACCTGTTACTACAGAACCAGACCCCAGGTGCTCCTGATACAGAGACCACCCCTCCTCCTGGCACCTCGAAACTCCTGGTCCTGGAGGCCCTAGGGGCGAGATTGCCAGGCAAGCTGCTGTCCAGGGCAGAGACAGCAGCCTCGGGTGTACCGGCAAGATCTGGGGAGAGACTTCCCCAGAAGAGGCTGCTTCCAGTCTCAGGGTCAGAGAGGCTGAGAGGGCCAGCCCTGGAGAGCAAGGCCAGGAAAGGCTCCGAGGTAGGAGCCGAGGGAGAAGGCTGTTGGCCAGGCCTGAGCTGTGGCGGCGTGGGCCCTGAGGGAGGCGCCCCACACCAAGGGGTGACCTGGACAGTTGCGCGTCCCAGGAGCGTCTGTACTTGAAAGTACAGGGCAACGCTGAACCCAAAGGAATGAATGACTAATGGTGTTATTTTAGGTATGCGGTAGTACTTGATGGCCTAGGGGAGGTGAACTCCTTGAGCCCTTCGAATTACTTAAACCAGAACTGGTGAGGAGAGTCAGGGGCCAGGGGACGCTCATTTGAGTGGAGGCCCTCGGACCAGGCAGGGCAATGGGCTGGACTATAGGCCTCTCTCTACTAATGGGAGGGACGGAGGCCTACTTGGCTGCCCATCTGTCTGCAGGCAGGCCCAGGCTGGGGTCCTACTGGAGCATAAGGCCCCCTGCGTGCACTCGCCCCGCCAGGCAGAAGTCCCCGCCAGTCTGTCTGGGGACACTGGGGCAGGGCAGGGAGAGGTGCTGGGCAGGGCCAGCTGGCTGCCGGTGCCCTGGTCCTCGCCCTCTGAGAGTGGATGGTGGGGGCGGTGGCCGCGGCGTTCCTGGCTGGGAGCCCAGAGGAGTCTTTTGTAATCACAACATGATCTCGTGTGCTGAGCGGCGAAGCCGGCAGGGAGAGGCCGGCGGAGGGAGGCCCGGCTCCGGTGGCTCCAGCTTCCCTCCCGCTCTAGCTCCCCCCAGGACTGCTCTGGAATTCTCTCCGTGCCCGCCGTTGCCATGCACTCAGCTGTGAGTGGCACCTTGCCTTTGGCGGGGGGCTTCTTGGGGCTGGGACGCCAGGCGGCCACACTGTGAGGGCAGCTGGGGACAGCTGGGCCCGGGAGGAAGAGGGCTGTGCCTAGGCGGGAGCGGGGGGGCGCTGGGCAGGGGTGTCGACCACGACGGAGTCCCTGCAGCCAGACAAGGAGGGACCCGGGGATCACAGTGTGCCCAGGGGGCTCCCCGGAGGGGCCCACCCACAGAGCTGACTCTTGCCGGCAGCTCTCGGCCTGGAAAGGCTGGGCCTGTGGGAGCGGCTCTTTCCCACAGACTGGGCGCAGGCCTGAGAAGTGGGGTCCATGGCCTGGGAGCCCAGGACAGAGCAAGGGCCTCTCTTTTCACTGTGGTTCTCGGCCTGGGAGCCCAACAGCTCCCCCCTCGACCTCCTGAATCCCCTGGCAACTTCCCAGTCACGGCAGGTTCCGCTGCCAGAGCCATTTATAACTCCCATTCCAGGCTCCGCTCCGCAGCTGAGCTCCCTGGAGAGCCGGGGGGAGGGGCAGCCACTGCTGGGAGCCGCGGGCCTGGGTATGAGGCTCTGACCTGAGCCCCCGGAGAGGACCCAGAGAGATGGCAGGCAGGCCTAGCAGGGTGGGGGCTTATGGCCTTCCATGGGCCGACTGCCCACGCGACCCTAGCTCTGGGTCTAGGTCTGTTCCTTGGGTGGTAAGAATATGGTAGAATGGGCGGATGTAAAAGTTGAGGAACTGGTAAGGGATGGGCCAAGCAGTCAGGAGCTTGGGCCCCCTGCCCTCTGCAGGGGCCTCACGGGGCTGAGTCCCCGATGAGCAGGCAGGAGGAGAAGGATGCAGAGCTGGACCGGAGGATAGTCGCCCTTCGAAAGAAGAACCAGGCCCTATTGCGCAGGTACCAGGTGAGTGGGCTGTGCTGGGCGGGAGGACTGACTGGGCTGGCACTCCTGGGCTGACCTGCAGACTCCAGCATGGTGGTCTCTCCCTGCAGGCTTGGGTCTGGGACCGGGGTGAGGGTGGGTGTGTTCCATCTCAGAGGCTCTGCGAGGGTCTTGGGGACTCTGTGATATGGTGCGTCTGCCCCCTGGTGTCCCACTGGTGTCTCTCTGTGTAGGCCTGTCGGCGTCTGTGTATCTGTGCCTCTGGGGGGCCGTGGCCTGTGCTGACCCCGGGGCCCTCCCACAGGAGATCCAGGAAGACCGACGGCAGGCAGAGCAGGGGGGAATGGCTGTGACCACACCGGAGCTCCTTCGTCCTCATGGCCTCACTGTCACCGTCAGCCAGGTTCCTAGAGGAAGACCCACTGGGGAGGCAGGGTGGGGTGGCAGGGAGGTGGCAGCCCAGCTTGTGCCAGGGGAGCACAGCCACCCCTGCTCCTCCGCTTCTCCCACTTCTCTTCAGGGGCATACCTACCAGATCCCAACCTCATGCAGCCCAGGCCCACTGCTGGCCCCCACCCCAGAGAGCCACAGCTGGAAGGTGACCATGCCCTTTTCCAGCCCCAGAGCTCTGCACCTGTGCCCCATGCACAGGCTGCCCCTAAACCCCAAGGCCCCGGGCACAGAGAGGTTGGGCTGAATGCCAGGAACAGCATCTGAGAACAGAGCCTCGTTGTCTGAGTGCTTTGGATTTCCCAGCTCAGAGATGGGCCACTGTGGCGTCCTGGGCCCCTGGGTGGCCCCAGGCCTGGATAACCTAATGCCACTGGTATGTGAACGCCTCGCAGAGGCAGCTCCTCAGTGGGCATTCCAGGGAGGGCCAGGGCTGGAACCCAGCCTGGGGAACCACCCAAAGGACTCAACCCCCAACTTCTGCCCAGTGCTGCCCATGTGGCCTCACGGCATGGCACCTCATTCTGCAGGGGAAGCGGGTGGTCAGCCAGAACTGGGCAAGGAGTGCCCTTGGACCTGGAGCAGCCAGTGAGATTCTTGAGAATGAGCAGGCAGAGGCCCACACTGGCACCTTCTGTTTGGGGGAGCGGGTGGATCTGGCCGTGACCATGGAAAACAAAGCCGAGGTGAGCAGGGTGGGTAGGGGAAGCCTATGAGCCAGGAAGCCTCCTCTTCTTCCCTTCCTGTGCTACACTGCCCATCCTCACCTCCCCCAGGCCAAGCGTATCGTAAGTGAGAAGCCCACCAGAGCACGGAACCAGGGAGCAGAAGGGTCACATGGAGGGGGCTTGGGCCAGAGCCCCTCCATGCCGACGGCCATCAGCTCAGATTCTGCATGGAAGGTACCTCCCCAAGAAGGGATGGGGACATGAATGTGGTGGTCCCCACTTGGGGGAGGCATGGAAGCTGAATCGCATATGTCCCTATCTGTGGGGATGTGGCCCAGGCAGCACCTGCAAGAATTCCCACTCCTTCTTCCCTTCTCTGACCAGTCTCCACATCTGGTGGGTCATGCAGTGAGAGACAGTGTAAGTGAGAGACGTGTCCCAGCCCCTAACCCCGCCTGGACCTCTGGTGGCAAGCTGGTGGGGTCAGGAGGTGGGTCCAGGGTGTGAGACTGGCCTTGTGCCAGGTGTGACCTCTAGATGGCAGCAGTCCCTAGTCTTGGTTCTTGCTCCCAGCAGCTGGGTGTCCCTCCACCCTGGGCCTGACCACACACTCCAGCAACAACCCCCTGGATAGCACTATCATTATCCCCATTTCACAGATGAGGAAATGACCAATGGAGAGGTCATCTTGTCCCAGAGACACAGGTAACCCTGGAAGGAAGCCATGCCTATGGCAAACAGGATTTAACCTACATGGAATGGATCTAATTTGGGGGTGGGGACGTCAAAACCTTCAGAGAGGAAGGGGTTAGCAGACTCTCTGGATCCCCATCCCAAACCCAGGGCTGTTTCTGCTTCCACCCCATGGTGCTTAATGTCTTCTCCCTGCAGGCTGTCCGGGAGCCCCGGAATCCAGCCCTGGTCCCAGGCCCAGCTCCCCGCCGGACACCGGGGGCCCCCCTGGAGGTGGGCTGGGACTATGCCCAATGGAAGCAAGAGCGGGAGCAGATTGACCAGGCCCGCCTGGCACGACACAGAGACTCACAGGGTGACTGGCGCCGCCCGTGGGACCTGGACAAGGCCAAGCCCACGTGGGTGGCAGGGCCCGGCAGCTGCTGGGTTGACATGCTGTGGGGCTGTGGCAGGCTAACTGTGGGCGCCTCTTGCAGGGCGGCTGGGCCCCTCCCCAGGGTGTGAGGATCTGCCTGGTCCTCCGGTTGTGCCTGGGGCTACTGGCTCTGTGCAGGCGCTGGGTTTCCCATCTTCCTTGGGCCCACGCTCTCCCTTCTGTCCTTAGGCCTGGGGCTGGGGGGAGGGGAGGCTGGCCCACCAGCAGCTCTGCAGCCCCTGCCCTTCCCGCCACCAGCCAGCCTGACTCCTTCTCTCTGCAATGCAGGCGACAGGGCTCCAGCAAGCCTCGGGAAGAGGGCCCAGCCAGGGTGGGCAGCACGAGGGGTGAGCCGAAACCCCACTACCCCCACTCCTTCTGCAGTTTTTCACCCCTTGCTCCCTCTTTCTCTCTGTCCTTTGTCTCTTGGTCTACCACCTATTTTCAGAGCTGGAAAGAAGCATGAAAGAACATCTTCCTTCCTCCCCTCCCTATCAGAGGAGGCACCATGACCTTCCTTCGCATCCCCTAAACCCACAACCCCTGCCCTGGGTTCTGACCCCAGAAGGTCTGGAGAGAAGGCTCACTAGGAAGTCAGCACTGGGGTCCTTTTGAGGTGTGGGACCCTCCTGGGTGGCAGCTGCTCCTTATCTATTATAGGGATAATTCCACTGCATCTCTGGTCCCTCATTTCACACGTGAGGAAGTCAAGGCTGGAGAGGCTGCTCTGCTGGTCACTTAGCCAGGATTGGCAAAGCAAGCACAGGGACCCAGCTCCCCTGACACTGCCCTAACCGCACCCTCCCAACCCCAGCACCCAGGCCAGATGTCTTTCTGGGAACCAGAACACTCACAACTGGACCAAGAGAAGGACTAACTTCCTGGTCCTGAAAGAACTGATGTTCCTGCTTTGGCTCTTTTGTGATCCCACCCTTTCCCAATTTCCTCTTCCCCCTTAGGTCCCAGGAGCCAGCGAAAGCTACAGCCTCCACCACTGTCCCCTGATGGCAAAGGTGAGTTGAGAGAGGAGGAGGATCAGGTCCCAGGAGCAGGTGACCCCCTGCTGCCATGACCCCCTTCTCTCTTGATGTGTACCATCTCTTGCAGGCAGTGCTACTCGGGGTGGGCAACAGGGCAGACCCGTGGTGGCACTGGCCACACGCAGCAAGGCTCGAGGGACAGAGAGGCTGACTGGCAGGGCCCGCAGGTAACATGAGACAGGGAGCAAAATCGGGGGAGGTTCTGGGCTCCTGGATTTCCTGGCCCTGTCTTGCCTCTGGGAGGTCAGGCCGGCCTGGCCCAGGTGCCTGCTGCAGCCCCCAGGGCCTCTGCCTCTTGGCTGACTGCTGCCTGGTGGCAGGTTAATGAGATGCGGGGAGAGACCGTCGGCAAAGGCAGCTGCAGCAAGAGCCTGGTGCCCTGGGAGGCCAGCGGTAATTACAGCAGTTCCCTTCCCGGGGGAAGTCAGGCACGCCTTTCCCAGGCAGCACAGGCCGGGACACGCCCATTATCCCCATAGAACTCAAGGTGCTGCAGGCTTGGCCATAAACAGCAGCTGAGGACCTGCTATAGTGGGCAGTGTTCAGAGGAAATGGCTGGGTTTGGGGTGGAAGGTCAGGCTGGAAGGGAAACATCCTGGAGCCTCGCTGTGGCTCTGCCCTTCCCCTGAGACCTCTGGGCACTTGTTTCCCCCTGGGGGACATGGGCTGCCTGCTATGGAGCAGGTGACGTGAGGTGCGGTGGGTTAGGAGTGGGGCCTGCCATGTGCTGTGTTTCTGCAGGTGGGAAATGAAGGAATACAGGGAGGAGCCAGAGAGCCAGGAGGTGGGTATTTGGACATAGGATGGGGCGGGCTAGGGACATGAGCCCTAAATTCACCAACCTCTTGTTTTCAGGGAAGCCAAAGTACCAGAAAGACTCCGAATGAGAAGGAACATGAGCAGACTCAGAGCAGGATGGAGCCGGGCGGACTCACCTGTGCCCCGGGAACCACCCCCACCGCAGCATCAGCATCACCAGAGGGGCTGAAAGAGGAGTCGGGAGATTTGGCAGCCAGTCCAGCCAGTCCAGCCAGTCCGGGCTCTCCACCAAATTCAGACTTGGTTCCCCTCGATCTCTCTCTAGGAGGCGCCAGTAGCTCTGGGCCTCAGGAGAGGGTCTGTGTGCCCAGTTCAAAGCCTGGGGCCCAGGAGAGCTCTGTGTCCCGGCTGGAAGGCCATGAGCAGCCCCTGGGGTCGACCGAGCCCCAGGCCGAGCCAGAAGCCCAGACTTGTTCTGGGCCCCCCAAAGAGGCAGGGCCCCTGGAACCCAGAGAAGACAGGCCTGGCAAGGCTGGGACCCAGCAGGGCCTGACACCTCGGAGCAGGGCCCCTAGAGGAGGCAGCCAAAGGGCGAGGGGTGCGGGAGGTGTGAGGAGCAGGACAGGGGGTCCTGGCCCTGCAGGAAGATGCTGAGCACAGCTCTTGGGGGCAGGGGACCAGGCTGGGGACAGGAGGGGAGACACTGTCCAGAGTCTTTGCGCCATGGGTGTGTGGTGGCTGGTGGCTGTGGCAGCCTGGCTGAGCAGTTTGGCAAACTCTCCAGGGGAGTGAGACCGTGAAGGCCAGGAGCCAGCCCCTGCCCTCATAGGTGCCCCCCGTGCACAGGTGTGCTCTCGCCCGCAGGTATGGCCCCTGGTGCATGCCCGTGCCACGCCTGGTCTATGAGGCTGGTGAGCTCTGTCCCAAGCCTACTACTGCCCAGGCCACAGGCTCCCTGCCATGACGAGAGGACAAGGCTTGGAATCACTCAGCAGCCGGCTCACCTAGCTCCCGTCACCCCTCGGGGCCTGGCCACCCTCTCCAGCTGCTGGCTCCTGGCTCGTCAGGTACTGCCAGCTCCTCAGCTGCTGCCAGCCTCAGCAGCTGGCATGGCTAGCCCAGGCCTGGGGCCCTTTCCTACACTCTCCCCGGCCTTGCACCCATGTGACGCTCAGTCCCAGAATCACTGGATGACCCATGGGGGATCTCACAACCACCTGGCAGGCTGCTACCTTTCGGGAAGAGGAGGCTGAGGCCCAGAGGAAGGGAGGCCACAGCCGGCAGGGACGGAGCTGGGGACAGAAGAGCAGAGCTCGGGTCTCCTCTGTGAAAGGGAGGATCTCTGAAGCAGGGTGGGGTGAAGAGGGGACAGACGGCCGCCTCTCTCCACCGCAGGGTGGGGGAGCTCACCTTCGGGGACCTCCTCCCCCACCCCCAGGTCAGACCTGAGTGCACCCTGAATGGGGGAGGGGGAGCCTGCCACCTGGGGTCGTTTCCTGCCATCTTCCCACTGCGTCCCTGCAGCGTGTCATGCCAGAGGAGGTCTCAGGCAGGGACTCGAGGCAGAGAAACAGCAACTCGAGCTAAGTACGACATCAGGACTCGTCTTTCCTACTTAGTCTCTGTTCCCCCCACCACTGAGGCCCACGTCTGGTGAATTATCCAGACTCCGCACAAGCTGTGGCTTCCTCTCAATTCAACAAACATTTCCTGAGCACCCACTACCAGCAATGCAGCCGGTGGGCGATGGTGACTTTGCCAGCAAGAGGGAGGGAAGAAGCCTCGTCATCCGGCAGATCCAGGCTGCACAACAGGAGCTGTTCTTGGCTGTAGGTGCCCGACAGGGGCTGAAGATGATGGTAGGAGCCCAGAAGGAACCATCCCACCGCTGTGTGCAAAGGTGGGCGCGCCTCTCTTTCTCATCAGGTGTCCTCTGCCCCCACACCCCTGCTTGGATCTCCCCACATAGCCCAGCCGTGGCTGTTCCTCTCTGCTGAGGGTCCCAGGCTTCACTGGCTTTTCTGGGTTCTCTCGGGAGTGTCCAGATCATCCCCAGCATTTCTCTCCACTGTCAAAGGGAGGTCTGAATTGTGGCTCAGCTGTGAGGCCAGGCTTCCTCACTGGCCCTTGCTCCACAAACCACCCCCTCTATTGAGGAGGAGGGTGGAGGGGATGACTTTTCAGCAGATCAGACTGTTTAGAGCAGTGCTTCTTACACATTAAGGTACAGACGAATGCAGACTCTAACTCTGGGCTGGGCCTGGGAACCTGCATTTCTCACAGGCTCCAGGTGCTGCCTTTATTGCGGGTTCCTGGACCACACTTTGAGAGGAAGGATTTGGATTAGAATATATGGAGAGCTGAGGACAGAGACAGACTCTAGACTCTTAAGGGCTGGCTGCTGGCTCTACATGGGGTGGTGGCAGCCTGCCCCTGAGAGGTGGGAGCTTCCTGGTCTCAGAGTAGGGTGGGAAGCTGAGGCTTTGGGCTAGAGGCTTGAGAGCTGTGGTGCCAACTTCCTGTAGTGGGGAGTGAGAAAGTTGATTGGGAATAGAGTGAGATGAAGCTGACTGGAAGAGGTGGGGATTGATCAGAGGAATTCTGGAAAGGTTTGGGAACATTCTGTGCATGTAGAGAGAAGACCCCTGTGAGATATGAAAAGGCAAGTGTGAAAGATTCCAAGTTTGAGTTTTTCTCTTGCCATCCGGTCACATGTTTGTGACTTCAGAGCATGAAACTGGCTCTGGAACCCATGACTCCCAGGGATGGAGCTGGAGTAGAGCAGGTTCAAGCTGAGCCCTTGAATTCAGATGTCTCCCAAATTGTGAACCAGAATTTGGATTCCAAGAATTATAAACTTCCCCCAACCACCAATGCTGCCAACTATACAGATGTGCCTTCATTATAGGGTATGTGTCAAGTCATGTTTGACTGTGGGTTGGAGATGTAGTTAGGGCAGAGGTCTGCTTGAGGCCTCATGACAAGACCTAAGTGGGAGAGGAAGCTGGTCTAAAGGTCTATGGAAAAATGGGCTTCTCTTCTGGGTATTAGGAGGAAGGGATGTCATGGGAGTGAGTCACTAGCAGTTGGAGAGAATGGAGTCTGGCATAGGACACCTTCATTATAAGAAGAACTGTAGCACAAGGCAAGTATCATTGAGCTTTTCTTCGAAAAGGGGAGCCCTTCTTTAGGAGCAATGAGCCAGCACTTCTGGTGGCCACAAACCCTGCTCCAGGATGAAACCAGCTAAGGGGCAGGAGGGAAGAGTAGACATCCCTCCACAAAGCTCAGGGCCATGGAAGGCTGCTCTGTTTCTTCCTGGATCCTTTGGTTAAAGGCCTGGCTGGGAGCCTTCTTCTTGGATGTCCTTCTCTTCTCCAACCAATAGACAAGACTGCTCCTCAAAGGTGGGAAGTTCCTCATGGGACATGGAATCAGGAGCCCAGGCACAGAGCTGGGGGAATTGACAAGGGAGAGTGCAGAGGGCAGTAGGGGGCCAGCAGGGACATGACAGCTTTACCCAAGGCCTCAAAACAAGGAAGGCAGAAGAAGTGGAAAGCATCTCAGTCCTGGCGCCAATCACCTTACAGAGGGGAGTGGCAGACCGCACTGTGAGGGAGGTATTTGGGGGATGACAGGCAGCATGGTAGAGTGGAACAAACACGGGCCTTGGAATCCAAGAGACTGAATCTGAATTCTAGGTCTGTCACCTGCTAGCTGGATGGCTCTGGTCAATTTTAATGTCTAAAAGCCTCAGTTTTCTTGTTTGCAAAATGGAGCTAGTAATACCTATGTTGAAGGATTGTTAAGAAAATTAAAGATGAAAATATGCAAAATACCCCATGCACACAGTAGGCACTCTGTTAATAGTAGCCTGGCATGAAGAAGACACTCAGTAAATTTGAATAAATGAAGTAGTGATTTGTTGTGATCTTGGTCTACTTTGTTTTCTATCTTTTCCATTGCCTTCTCTTCTAGTCTCATCTTCACTGGGGTCAACACACTCTTAAAAGAAGGGAAGGTCTGTAAAGGGTACTCGATCTTCTAGGACAGTAAGCTGCTTTTACTTCCCTGGGGTGGTCTGGGTGAGTTAAAAGCAGCAAGAAGTGACTCTCCTCTTACAGGAAATGTTCTTTGCCCTTATCCACCCACTGGATCACAGGGATGTCCTAAACATTTCCCCCTAACTTTGACACTGGCTTTTGCAGTTCAGGCATTTCCTCTTTTCTTCTGTTTACATCAGCAGCAATCTCACAAATTTACTCCCCAGAAATAGACTCCTTTGTGGAGTTGGCTTCAGGCCTCCTGAAGTTTTACCACCCGAAGGAGTAGCATGCCTGTATTTTCATATAATCAAGGGATGGGTAACTGGGGATCTCTGGAACTAGGGGATCCCCAGCTATCTAACAAGGTCCAAATTTGGAAGGTTTGATCACCGATCAGTTCCAGCCCCAAACTCTAGCCTCAGGGACAGGAATAAAAGGAAAAGATGGCACTGGCCCCAGAAAAGAATAAAGGAAATGCCAAAAATCCCAATATGGCCATATCTTCTTAATTGGGGGTTAAGTCCCGGGCGGGGAGTTCAAGGGAATAGGAGAAACGAAAGGCACCGCTTCACTTCTGCCTCTTGAGTCATTTATCAGTGTCCACAGACCCTACAAGCATCTTGTCCTGATCGAGGGCTATCAGGGCTTATGCGGGAGAGCAGACACAAGGTGACCACAGCCCCGCAGGAGGTTGGGGGAGAATGTGAGGCTGGGGAAAGCAGTGAGAGAAGCTGCAGAAAGCACAGTCCAAGGCTGCTTTCTCTCAACGAGTCTGCCAGTCTACGTCACGGCCTCTCATTAAGCATCCACTTGACGCCAGCGAAGTGAAATAGCACAGACCTGGCACCAGAAAGAACAAATGTGGCACCCACTGCTCCTTTTAAGGACTGGCTCGAGGAGCAGCAGGCCCCAAGGCAGGAGGTCAGGCAAACACATCAGTATCTTTGTGGGACGGGGAGAGAGGACTCTTTTAGGCCTGTCTCCTTCTTAACAAGCTTTCCAGGGCAAGTTTTCCTGCAACCTTCAAAAAGAACCAACAATGAAGGCCTTTTCCCTTTTAAAACTCTAGGGACACAGTGCTTCCTCTTCCCCCAGCAGGGCAGCTGGCTTCAACCAAGAAGGAGGGTCAAAAGTCACCTTTGATAACCATCTGTCCAAACAGTAATACCCTAACCCCAACTTACTGAATCAGAGGGAAAGACTGGACCAGTGCTTCTCACATGTTAGTGTGCATTCGAATCACCTGGAAGCCTAGTTAACGCCCTGCCCAGCTCCATCTCCTGACTTCCTCATTCAGTCATTGTGGGATGGGATCTAAGCCATGGCAGTTCTTATAAGTTCCCAGGTGATGCTGATGTTGATGGTCTGGGCTCTGGTGTATAATGTTTACTCCTTGCTCCTTCACATTTCTTTCTATATAGGCTTTTTGCCCAAAGGGACAGACACTTCCTTGAAAATATATTAATTACCTCATGTGAATATACTGTACTTTTATTCCCAAGATCTCCAAGCCCTGTCACATCTATTAGCTCCATCTGCCCTCATGAATTCCCATTTGGTGAGAAGGAAAGAGAGGGGTGGAGGGTGATAACTAATGCAATGTGGAGTCTGTAGGTTGTGTCTATTCCAGTTCAGGGGTCCCTACCCATAGCCCGCTGCAGGGTCAGCCCGGGTCCTGGTGATACTGTGAGCTGCCTACAGCTCAGAGACTGGCTGTGACTCAACACTGTCCAGACACCCAGACTACTAGCAGGGAGCTTAAGGGGACAGGTGGCCTCCAGGATGAAGTGAGAGACCTCAACTCATCCTCTGAACACTGAGCTGGCAGAGAGGGAAGGCTAAAAGGAAACAACCACTTTTTTGAACAAGTTAGTTTGGGGACTTCTGAGGCTCACTTGGCATACTGTAGGCAATAAAGAGTTCTTGAAATAATGGTAGCAGTTTACGGAAAATGTTCTAAGGAAAGTTAGAATCTTATTGCTGGGACTTCCCTGGTGGTCCAATGACTAAAACTCCATACTCCCAATGCAGGGGGCCCAGGTTTGATCCCTGGTCAAGGAACTAGGTCCCACATGCCACAGTTAAAGATCCCTTATGCCGCAACGAAGACCAAAGATCCGGCAAGCTGCAGCTAAAGACCCAGTGAAGCCAAATCAATATTTTTTAAAAAAAGAATCTTGTCACTGATTAACGGATAGGCTATCGCAAAAACAGATTACTGAAGTTAAGAAAACAGAGAAGTAACAAGAGTAGATTCCTGTTGGAATGACTATACATTCTTTGTGGGCAAACACTGTACAGTAAATTTCTGGTCCCATGGTAGTTTAACAACTGTTTACAGAATGGCATTGGGCACAGGGAAGCTGGTTTGGCTCTGGTGGTTCATGAGCGCAGTGTGCTTCTGGGAGCCGTGGCTGTTTCTGCTCTCAGGATAGAAGGCCTGGTAAAGTCTGGGTGTGTGGTTGAAAAAAAGAATTTTGTCTTTTAAAATTAGCTACTGGAGGGAACAAAGAGCGTAACACGGGGTTTCTGGCAGTAGAAACCCACAGGCTATGTCCTGTGGGACAGAATGTGACCAAAAACCTGTCTGTAGAGCAGATATTTTTATAACTCACGATTAGGCCACAGAGCCAGGACAAAGGAGACAATGAAGGGGTTACATAGTTCATGCTGCTCTGTTAACAGCACCACATGGAACACAACTGTGGACTTCTGGCACCTGGCAAGAACAGGCGGCCAAGCCCAAGCCCCTCAACTTGGCAGTGAACAAACTTTGACCAGAGTGGCCAGTGAAGCTGTCATCTAGCAATTCATCCTCTGAACCAAGGTTATCGACTGTGGGTATAGGTACACAAGTGGATCATGATGGGGACACCACAATGACACCAGGGCCAGTTCTATCCAACACAGATCAAGCAGATGATTGACAAACCTGAGTGCCTGTTCCTGTGTGCCAGGCCCTGAGCTTACTGCTGGTCTTTGAAACAAGACCTTTGTGGTCCCTCCCTCCGCCGAGGGAGACCAATGAAGAATACGGTGGTGGCCCTTCTGTAACTGCACTGCAATTCCAGAAATCCCTCCATTCTCTGCAGACATGAAGGGGAGGACAGTTACTACCTCTTTTAAATAGCTGTGGTAGCCCTAAAGCTTGGGACCTGAACTTTCAGTTCCCCTTAAAGAAACATGTAGAAACAAGTTGATGCTCTCCACTCAGCATTTCAAAACAGGATATAAATACTCAATGCAAGAACACACTATCTTAGGACTCCCTAGTGAAAAGCAAAAAACAAGGTAGACAGAAAAAATTCCAAAGCTGTGGTCTCATATGTGTGGAAATCTAGAGCTGTTAGCAATAAAAATGTTTCTTATGCTGGAGACTTCAGAGAAACCCTTCCTCAGCACAACGGGGGACAGAAATGATACCCACACAAGCCCAGTCTAAATGGCTTAGCAAACTCCTCACCCCTCATCCTCCAAAATACTTTCATAAGAGGTGGTTATTTCATCAAATTCAGGCTGTCAGGAAATAAATCATACAGTCACTTGTAATATAAGCAATACCTAGAAATGGTCCAGGTAGTCCTGGTGCAAAGCAGTTAAAAGGAAAGCAATCTTGCCCAGACTTCTTCCTGGCTCAAAACCTGATGGGCAATTTTGCAGCTAATTTCTAACCCTTGAAAATAAAACGATTCTGACCGCTGCTCCCCGCCTCCAGGCCCTGTTCTGGTGGAACAGTGCCCTTCACTTCGGTCAGCAGGTTCCTGCTGCACACACTGCTATACGTGCCCAATGTGTGAAGCCGTGTGCAACTGCAGAAGCCACATGTTCCTGTCTACAGAAAGGAGGGGCTGGCTAGAACCTTGGAAACACTTTTCACTCCCCTTCTGCTCTGCCTTACCAAGCCCTCTCACAGAAAGCCATTGTGTAGGTTCAAGAAAGAAAGAAAAGAAGGGCGGACTTTTCCTGGCTCCCCTGCGGACTACAAGGTGATATAAAAGCACAGCAGCCACCCCCAACAGCTCTGGAGAAGTGCAGGCCTCAGGGGGCTGCACCAACACTGGCTTCTCACTCTGGTTCTCGCAGGGCAGCATAATGAGCTGAGCTCAATTGCTTGCTGTGTATTTTACAGCACAACTAATCCCTCATATTTGTGCTTTTCACCCACATGTCTTTTATTGTTTGCTCTGGGGAAGAAAAAGCCTCACCTTTGAAGCAACCCACACCTTCTCTGCCCTGTGGCTCTCTCGCTGCCTCCTCCTTCTCCCTTGTAGACAAAGCTCTGACCAACCGCTGCAGATGCATCCATTTGTCTCCCCCAGTATTAGCGCTTCTTGAGCTTTCTAGGGGCCAATGGTCTAAAGGTAAGAACAGTGATTCTATCAGGCAGCTGATCCTCTAGGTCTCAGCCAGCTCAGTGTTTATAATAATTCTTAAACGCATGCTTACTGGTCCTTTAGCTTCCTCAGTTAGGCATCTGCTCAGAGTCCTTTAAAAGAAGAACTTTTTTCCAACCATTTTGAGGTTAGCCAAAGGTAGCTGAACTAGCTATCACTGTTCTTCTAACCCCATGACTGTTTCTGGACTAAGATGGATTCCTGCCACCCTTCACTGATCCATTTGGTCAAACTACCAGGCACAGAGAACATCGCAGCAACTGCTTTTCCTCCTGCACTCATTCATCATCATCCATCCACCACACCTTAGACCACTGCCTCTTCCAACCTCTAATTTCTTCCCTAAGAAGTATGAAAAGAGAAACGATCAACTTACACAGGCTGACGTAGAGTTCTTAGAATGTATTTTTGTTCACCTGAAAAATAAAACTTTTAAAAAATATACAGGACTTTTTGAGTACAGGTATATCTTAAATGGCTGAATTATAAATAATGTCTCTGGTCACGCTCACAACTGGGGCTGGAGCTGATGTCCCAATTCCAGTGAAGGCGTTCGAGTCAGGAGGCCAACAGCTGAACCCACAAGTGGTCTCTCTAGACGCCGATCCATCCCAGAGTGGATTCAACAGTCCAGAATGCAGGGGTCAGAATGGGGACAGGGGACTGGACTCCCAGATGTTCTCCTGCCAGTTCAAGGGATTCTTGGAATAAGAGATCGATTTACAAATTATTAAAATATAGGACTAAAAATTCACACAATAAATATAAATTACAGGCTATTATTGAAGTTATAAAGTGGCATTTTATGTTTCTTCCCCCAGGCCCTCACCAAAAATTTTAAAAGGTCTCAAAGGCTTCCTAATGACTGAAGTCAAGTCCTCGGAAATCTCCTTCAGCCAAGACACCTTGGAGGTGCTACCAGCCTGCCCCTAGGCAATGACAGCTCAGCTGCTTTTATCTTGCCCACAGCAGGACAGGGCTGAAATCGAGGCTGTGGTCCTATAAACCTGGATCAGAGCTAACAGGAGTATAGGCCAGAAAACTGGAGAGACAAATTGTTTCAGGACTCAGGTGGATAAGTTGTTGTTGTCGTTGTTTTAAAGTGCCTCATTTCCCAAAAAGGAAACATGAAGGGGGTTGTTATCTTGTCACTACCCACACTCAATTGCCTAAAAGCAAGTGGTGGAAGGAAATGGAATCCAAATGGAGGATGTAGAATTCTTGTGGCCCCAGAGCTAGCTTTACATCTGTCATTTCACTTAGTGCTTCTCATCTCAATGAAAGTATAGGCTGCATGTAAGTAGAGCTTATCAGGAGAGGTAAAGGCTAGCCAGTTTATCCTTCCCATGGGTGGTCTATTATCTGGCTATCAAAACACAATCCTGAGTTTGAAGCCCATCTTTCAGCCTTTTGGGTTCTTCAAAACCAGATGTGCTCAAAGCTCTGGGTTTACAACAGATTTTGTTCACAGGGCTACACTGTCACTACAGGCTGAGGGCAAGACAGAAGGTGAAGGTGATTACAGAATAAGACCTGACCTTGAAGAGCAGGAAAAAAAAAAAAAGATAAAACACTTGTGAGCCATTCTACTTACAAAAGCTTGCTCTTCCTAACCTCTGTGAGAAGGCCAAGGGTCGAAGCACAGAGATATTGCTCTTTCCCTTCCTTTCTTCCCTGGCGGGTATCCAGATACTTAGGGCTGCAACAGAAAGCCTCTTAGGTGGGGGCACTAGGGTGGGAAGAGGAGGGGACCGGTACATTCCCCGCCCTCCCCAAACTGCTTCTACTTCTCCAAAGGTTTTCCATCGTCCTTTCAACAGGTTTGAGAACAATTATACTCTTTTGTGTCATAAACCTATCTTTCTGAAATAGGAGGGGGAAAAGGTAAAAAAATGGGTAATGTAAAAAGTGTTTGTGCCCTTCTAGCTAGCTGCACTTTGGGGGCCAGCAAATAGCCCTTGCTTAACCCCATCAGTCAGTAGCTACCCAGGATGTGGGAGGATACATGTAGTTCTATGTAATTATAGCTTCTAGTGCATATGTCAACAACTATATACAGGGATCTATAAATTAAATGCATCTGTGGCCACTGCAACTAGGTTGACGTACCTGAGCTCCACTACTTTCGGTGCCCTCCTCCTTGCAAGAGCTTCGGCTTATTAAAGAAGAGCCCCTACAGCTCCCTCTTTTCTTTAAGTCTTGGGGGAAAGCCCGAGTCACCCCTCCACGTAGAATACATAAGAACTAGCGGCGCAGAAGGGTTCAGTGCTGGGATCTCCCCACCCCTCCCCCACCCCTCCCTTATGGCTCAGGGCCCTGGCGCAGCACCGTCCGTAGGAAGACCAAACCCGGAGCCCCCGGGGAATAGTGGTCCCTTGGCTGAAGATGAACTGCAGGCCCCTCACCCCTGGGGCTAGCCGGCGATCATCGGGGAAGAGTGGCGTTCACTCCCGTGGGGGTCACTTCCGCGGGCTCCTCGCCCGGTCCTGCTGCAAAGTCCTGCCTCCGGGCTTGGGGAGGATGGTTTCCGGCCGCCCCTGCCACCGAGGGGTTCAACGACTCCCCGGCGCCGCCGCCGCTTCCTCCTCGTCCTCCTCGGCCCCCCGCGGCTGCTCCAGCGGCCCGGCCTGGGGGCTGTCGGCAGAGGGTTCCGGAGACACGGGTCGCGCCGCCTGCAGCGGGGGCGCGTCGCGCGGCGCCTCGCGGCGGGACAATCCCGTGTTGTTGGGCCCCGCCGCCGCCCCCGAAGTCCCGGACGGGCCGGTGGCGTTGGAGCCGCCGGGGGGCGGGCCGGCGGCTCCCCCCGAGGTCCCGGCGCCCACCGGCTGCCAGATGAGGCTGTAGTAGACGGCGAGCACGATGGCGGCCAGCGACACGGAGAGCACGTAGGCGAACACGGTGGCGAGCCGGACCCACTTCTTGTTGGTCTTGGCCGCCATCTTCGCCTTCTTGTCCCCGGTGTAGGTGGCCGGCTTGCCCCGCTCGGCCGGGGCCGCGTCGCGCTCCTTCATGGGGGGGCCCCGGCCTTTGCCCCGGTGCTCCACGGCCCCGGTTGGAGGGGGCCTGGCGGCCTGCGAGGACTGGGCAAGGGGCGGCCCGGCGCCCTCGGTTCCCCGCCGCTCGGCTCTCCGCAGCCGCTCCTCACGCCGCCAGCCCGCAGCCCGCCACCGCGTAGCTGCAGCCGCCGCCGGGGCCTGGACCAGTCACCGCCGCCAGCGCCGCCGCCGCCGCCGGCCCGTCAGTTGCTTCCTCGCTGCCGCCACAGCCACAGCCGCCACAGTCGCCCGACTCCAAGTCCCCATCCGCCGCCGCCGCCGCCTGCCCGGCCGCCGGCCGCCCGGTCTCCAGTGGCCGCGCGGACAGCGCTCTCCGCTCCAGCCGGGCTCCCCCGCCTCGCGCGCCGGCAACAAGGGGCGGGGGAAAGCGCTGCTGGGGGCTGCCTCTTAAAAGGGCAACGGCGGGGGTCCGGAAGTGCCGCGCGGGGAGGGCTGGCTGCTGGCGAGCGCCGGGAGTCCCCCGCCGGGACGCCCCGTTAAGAGAGGGTTAACAGAGGCTGTCTCTTAAAAGGGCAACGTCGCCGCAGCCCCGGCACGGGCTGACGCGGCGAGGGGGGGAGCCTCCGGCGCTTCTTTAAAAGGGGAACAGCGTCTTTTGGGGCGGAGTGGTGAACTGAAGCCGGGCGGGGAGGGGCGGTCGGAGCGCGGAGCTGTCAACTCTGGCGCCTCCCCTCTGTGTTCAGACTGCCCGAAGTGACAGGTTATGTAGCAGCAGCGACTTCGGCTCCCAGGCCTCAGTTTACCTCCAGAGGTGGGGGTGATTTCACGTTGGTGCTCTCGACTCGCGCCCGGCCCCACGTACCCTCGGGGCGGGTCTTTCAGACCCCTTTACTCCTAGCGAGCCTGGCCCACGTCTGGCGTAGGCAACCCAGGAACGTGGAGAATGCACTGAGGTTGCAGCCGGTCGGGTCGCTTCCTTTCCTAGCCCTCACTCCCACCCGCAGCCGCATCCCGCCTGGGCTTCAGACGCTCTCCCGATTCTCTGTCCTCTTAGATTCCTGAGTTGGTTGCCCAGACCTTCCGGAGCTTTCGGGAGAGTACACGTGCTGAGCTGGTTCTCCAGACTCTCCTCCCACCTTAGTCCTGAAGTTTGCAACAGGTCCCAGATCCCGCCTTAGGGGCATTCTGGCTCTCGGGTTTAGGCTTGATCCATGGACTCGAGAGGCTCCACTGAACTGGTGGAGCGGCTTACAGGGCTTTCCCCTTCTCTGACCCAATTCAGGTCTCACAGCCTGGGCGGTGTTCCCTTGACACCCTTCCCATGTGGGGCTTGTCATCCGTCCTTTAGGTGCTGAGGACCCCTCTCCAAGCTCGGACTCTCAGTAGCCACTTCTCTCTTTTGCCTTCTCTCCGCCCCCGCCCGCATTCCCTGTCTGTGAGATTTTCTAAAATTTCTGGTTCTCTCCTCTTGAGTTCTACTTCCTTTGTTCCCAGAGCTGGGTCTATGGACCGCCTGGGTATCTCAATGGGTGTGGGGAAACTGCCTTGGAGTGGTGGGGGTGGGGTGGGGAGAAGACAGTCCTCATGCGGTTCTGTGGGTGAATCTTTCCTCCTGGCTCCTGGCTTCAGATTCTGTGGAGCTGAACCATCTTTATCTTTTCCATTTCTCCAGCTTCTTAGTTTCAAGACACCATGCCCCCTTATGAAGAAGTCCCACCCCAACGCTGCTGCCCTGCGTCCTCAGCAGCCCAGAAGTCAAGTGGCTGCCAGAGTTGAGTGTGCTGATGAGCGCCTGGAACCACAGCACCATAGCCAGGTGATTCCTGAAGCTCAGGTGTGAGTCTGCCACTAGCAATGGCCAGCTGGATTCTTATTTCCAAGAACAGCATGCCCTTTTACTTTTCTGAGAAATTTTAAGGACACTGAACGTGTGGAGTGCGTATTGCCTTCTGCAGGCTGATGGGGAAAAGACAACCACTCCTTCCCCATTCTGCTCCCACGGTGGCCAGAGCCCATCATGCAGGGTGACCTGTTAAGTCAGAACCCCTGGATTGTTTCTGGATGTTGAACTCTCTTCTCTCCCTTACTCTCTGACCTTCCTGGTGGGACTGTTCCTACCAGCTATACCAAGGTGAATTATTAGTAAAGGTTCCAAGTGAGTCCATCCAACCCAAAGCCTCCTTCCAACTGCTTCCTTGAATGCACTCAATTTCTTCTGTTGCAAATTAAACTTCTTTCTTCTTGCTTGGCTCTCAGGAAAACAGCCTGTCACTTTTTTCCATACGGAAGAATAAATATACTTGCAGACCCTATTCAAATCCTCTCACCCTATCCTTCTCCAAACTAAACAGTGCCAGCTTCCTTAACCTGTCATCAATAAGCTCTATTTATTATCTGGATTTACACAGTGTCTTTTACCCTAGGAACTCAAAATGCTTTCAGATATAATTGAGCCTGATCTCTGTGGTGCCTGAGCCATTAAGAAACCATTAGTGTATTGCTATTGCAGGCAACTAAATGGCCCCCTAGTGGCCTGAAAGTGAATATGCTTCTTTAAGAGTCTCGGACTAAAGGTGGGCAGAGTCAGAGTAGAGAATCAAAGCAGCGTGGGGACAGAATAGGCCCCAAAGGTCCTCTTTTGTAAATACCGTAGAACCTTGCCCACAGCATCCTATGGAGCACCCTCCAGCATCAGCTAAAAGACCCTCCATGTTAGTGTACCTTATTGTCTGCTCCCTTAGGCAGCCCTTTCAGGGTTTGGAAAGTTCTGACCAATTGTAGCAGCACCGACATCCACATCTTTATTATATGCTCGGCATTATGCCAGGGCTTCCCAGGTGGCTCAGTGGTAAAGAACCCACCTGCCAATGTAAGAGCCGCAGGAGACTCAGGTTCAATCCCTGGGTCAGGGAGATTCCCTGGAAGGGGAAATGGCAACCCACTCCAGTATTCTTGCCTGGAAAATCCCCTGGACAGAGGAGTCTGGTGGGCTACAGTCCATGGGGTCGAAAAGAGTTCAACACAACTGACATGCATGCAGCCAGCACTATGCTAAGCACTTACATTCCTTGTCTCATTTGTCTCACAATAATCTATCAGGTAGTTATTATTTATCTTCATTTTAGAGATGAATAAATTGCCTCCAAAAAAGTTCAACAACTTACCCAAAGTCTCATAACTAGAGAGAATTCAAACCTGAATCTTTCTGACTCTAGGGGCTTAGATCCTGATCTCTGCTCTCCTCTGCCTCATAGGTAGAGCTGAAAGTTGTCTCTGTCATGGATGTTGGGAGTACTGCCCACATCACCCTCAGGATCAAGGCACTCATTCCTCCAGCTGCTAGGGATGTTGACTTCTGATGGCTCACAGTTGCCACTGTCTCTGGGCATTGCCCGTAGGCACCGAAGGAAGCTGCATCTTTCTCTTGGCTCACAAGACCAATAAACGGGGCCAAGTTGCAACAAACCTGGGAAGAGCAGGAGGAGGACTCCATCTCCAAGATGCTGCAGAAGTAGCTGGTATGTATGATAGGAGCCAGGAGAGAATGTACAGGCTGAATCAAGGGGAGCTGAATACTATTAATAAGTTGAATGAGGGGGAGTTTATTGATTTAGGAGCACTCTCCTGTGAAATAGGATTTCATATCCTGACAAGGATCCTGGGAGACAGGCTACCAACTGAAATGGAAACGCCAGAAGTATAATGGCAGAAGGTGGAAAGAGGATTCAAGAAACCCAGAGAAGTGGTCATGCTCTAGTGGATATTCTGTGTAAGGCCAGAAACCCACTTCAGTTCTGCAGGAGGGCCCAGAGGATACTCTTGTTATCAGAACAAAGAGGAGTGCACTTACTGAGAAGCTGAGTTTTGGCTGTCCTCTGCAGGTCAGGGCTGACAGCAAGAGACCAAAACAGAACTGGCTCCCTAATAACAGTGGGGATGGCAGGACCACAAAATGATGGAAACCGGAGATTGGCACACCACTGTAAGGAGCAGCAAGTTGGACTGGCAGTTGGGGCGGGGGGGGGGGGGGAATGTCCTGATGGTAGAGTCATGCAGATGGTTAATAGGATGTAACGTTACTGGGGCAAATTAGTGCGAAGAATTCCCTTTTCATATTTCTGCAAGTCTCTTAAATATGGTTTTATAGACAACAGCTGGATTCTCATATCTGCTGTGGTTGGCTTTATGTTATTTTGGTTAACATGTGAAGAAAATCTGGCCTCACAAACATATGTAGTTGGAAAAGAGCATTTTAATACTCTTTTCAGCTAATTGTGGGTATTTTTCTTTGATACTACACCAAAACTCAACAAGTGTTATTTTCTTAAATGGTAGTTATAATGTAGAATATGAAACTCTTTCAATGAACTTTTGTACTCAATCACATTAAAGTCTATTGCTCTATCTTGTATTCTTTTATTTTTTTCAGCATTCACCAGCTTTATTTTAGAAGGTAATATATACTCTTGGTAAAAAAATATCTTGCATTCTGGATGACTTTTCTACCTGTGCATGATTTTGTTACATCCTTTGGTCATTTGGAAAATACTAGGTCATTGAATTATACAGATCTTTCATATATTGATACAATTCATTATATAATACTAAAAACCAAATTTGTTATTATCATCAAAAAAAGTTTTAAGTATTGGGAATCTGTCAACTTGATGATAGTGCATACAAGTTTCTAAAATTCCAATTTTCATTTGAAAGCTCAAATTGTATCATTGGCAACAGATACTATCAGTTGTTTTCCTCAGAGTTACAGGCTTACTTGGCTTGAATTTGGGAAAATATCTGCCAAATAACCAAGTCCAATGACCATAGTTTCTCTGTCAGTTATTTTTTTCAAGTGAAAGTGATGTTTCATGAAAAACAAAAGGCTAGTTTAGCTTATTCTTAATTGTGCAAGTACTTTTTTTGAGAGAACCATTCTATTTCTATGCGTAATACTCTATTTAATTACAGAGAAAATTAAAAAGACATGTATTTAAAGGTTATGATTTAATAAAATT